ATAAATATTTTTTTTTTAAAAAAAAAAATATAAGGGCATCTAGGCATCGCCAAGACTGCTTAGGTGTGAATAGCTTGACAACCGCTTAGCCCGCCCGAGCGTTTTCGAGCACTTGAACGACCGCCCAGGCAAAAGTTTTGGCGCTTAGGTGCTGCCAAGTGCCTGAGCTGATTTTTAAAACAGAGGTTGTGGTGAATTGATTTTTCGATATGATTATCGACTACATCATCATACAAGATTGTTTATAGATTTGAAAAACTAGACTGCATCGATTTGTTATAGTTATATTACCAGGGAGATTCTACGGTCATGTTACGAAATTATTTCGTCGGAGTTTGTAACCGTTAGATCAACTATCCACGACGGTTACATGATGATCTAACGTTTACATATCCCGACGAAATGGTTATGTAACGGAACTGTAGTATTTTCCATATTAGCATTTATATAATACATTTAATGAGTGGAATTATGATCCATATGCAGAGGTGTTGCCTCTCTACGCGTCAGGTGGAATTATCATCACATGAAATTGGATTTAGAAAGCTAGTATGACATAATGTGAAAAAAAAAAAAAAAAATAAATAAATAAAATAAAATAAAAATTGATTTGTGGTTGTTAATTTTAAGGTAATTTGATGTGTAAAATAATAGATGGTTACTCGTGTACTGTCTAAAATTATGTCATTTTTGCAGTGGCGAAGCTACATGCTAATGTAGGGGTCAGCTGACCCCTATAGATTTTAAAATTTTTAGTATAAAATACTGTTCAAACACTGTTTACTAGGTTAATGACCCCGCTAAAAAATATTGCCGACCCCGGTGAAATTTGAGGCTGGCTTCGCCCCTACATTTTTGTTACATAATTCTAGTTATTGTTGGAGTTACTACATTTAATACAATATTGTTAGGATGTGTATAAGAAGTATAAATTTGCATTTCTATATTGCAATTGAGTATTATTAAAGTTCAAAATATTTTCAGATATCATTTACATTTAGAATATCATTATTTCTTAGGAAAATAACGAAAATTGGCAATAGTTAATTAAAGAATATAATACGTTTTTGGAAATAATATTTTAAAATTTTAAAACCTTGATAGCTATCCATTTTGGTCAAAATATTTATATATTTGTCATCTATTTATTTTGGAAAAAAAAATAAATTTAAAATAAAAGTAGTTTAATATCATATATGTATTCATTGATGCTATGTAGCCATTATATCATGAAAGATTGACTTATATTATTTAATAATAAAAAAAAGTAATTGATGTCCTTTGATCACATCCACATAAAATCAGAGGGAATCCCCAAATACAAAAGTTGTATCTTAATTCTTAATAGACTCGTGATAGATGGAGGACTGTCTAAATGATAGTCAACTGTAACATTATTTTTAGTTGGAAAATAACATGTCCATGACTTTAATTTATCGAGACTTTCAAAACTAATGAATTTTAATTTGAATTAGTGCGTATTCCGTGCGATACACGAGTAAACAATATTAAATAATAATTATATATAAGTCTCGAGTTTGAGTCACCCAATGAAAGAAGTGGGAAACTATCATTTCTTAAAAGAGCAAGAAAAAATATTATAAATTAAAGATGAGGGTAAACAAATTAAAAATGTGGGGTTAACATGTGATATAATTTACCGTATATCAATTTATTATTAACAGACTAAAATTAGCTTGTACAAGAGAGCATAAAACTTATATGTTTAAAATATTACAAACACCTAAAATATTATATTAACATATATAAAAATAACTAAAATATTTTATATTATTATTAAAAGATTTGAAGTCACCTACAACTTTTCTAAATTTTCTAGAAAGAAAACATGTCTAAAAACATTAACTTTCACTTTTGTATGAAAGATGTTTTCTAAACATTTTTTTTTTTTTTTTGTAAAGAATACATTCTTAAAAATATTTAAATTTAATATGTATATATATATATATAGAATATACATATATATATATATTTTTATCACGTCATATATATATATATATTTTTATCACGTCATATTCTATATATTTATATATAGTATTATAAGTTAAATAAAGATATTATAAAGTTTTTGAGAGAAAATTTACATAGTATATATAAAATAAATATTGACATGATTATGATGGTACGTGAAAATTTGAGTACACAGAATATTTTAAAATTATTATTATTTTTTAAGTAGTTTTAGTACAAAAGATTTAAAAAAATATTATTATTCTTTAGTTACCATAAAAATAATTTTTGTATGCATACAATTACACGCTATATGCAGATTTTCAAATTTTACAAATAAAATGGTATTTATTTTATATCTAATTGAGATTAAGAAAAAAATGTTACTTCAAAAGTAATTTGTACGCATAACAAATTCACACATAACGCACATTTATATCCACATTCAATTTTATTAATGCAAATCGAGATTAATGCAAGCTGTAATAAATAAAATTGGATTTTATATTTAATTGAGATTAAGACAAAACTCAGATTTTATATTTAATTGAGATTAAGACAAAAATTAAAGACGTTATTTAATTCTTCATTGTTTCTATTCACATATTACGATATGTAATTAATATTTCTATTAACTATGTACTGTATGTATTTAATATTTTTGGGGGAGAAATATGTGATAAATATTATTCTATTTTAATATATATATATATTAAAAACATCTAAAATATTATATTACATATATAAAATGTATCTAAAATATTCTATATTATTCTTGTAATATGTTTGAAGCTACCCAAATTTTTTCTAATCTATCTTGTAAAGAAAACATGTAAAAGAATATTTAAGTTTAACCTCCATATATGTACATATATCCTTAATCATTGTCCAAATAATGTTTAAAATATCTAAAATATTATATAAGTTATTAATATTACTAATATTTGAAAAAATATTATTAATTATATAGGTGAAAATTAGTTTTTTTTAAAAAAAAAAAAAATACATAAAGGATTTAGGTTGCTAATGAGATATTAGAGTGTGTTACCTTTTTTTTTTTAAAAAAAAAAAACGTTACGATAGTTTTTTTAAAAAATCTGTTACAAATGGATGAAACGTATCGAGATTTATGTGATTGGATTATGTAAGCTTATGATAAGATTTTTTATGCGGGATTTTGTATGATGAGATTTTTTATACGATTTGTTATGGTTGAGCAATTTCCACAACATCAACTTCATTTTGTAATTGAACAAATTCCACGTTTTTAGGGATACATTTAATAATTTGATTTTATGTTAACTAAAAGGTAACAAATTCCATATTTCAAGGGCAACAGTTAATGTTGCCCCTAAATGGCATGTAATTAATGATAACAGAGTTTGACCAAGATTTGACTTACTATTTTAAAAAATGGTAATTCTTATTATATATATATATATATCATTAATTTTATTTTTCTGCGAGAAAGTCCTAAGCCAAAGCAATAAAAACGTGGATGGTGTGGAAAAACTGGAATGCCACGCAAGCGTCATCAATGCCACGTAAGATTTTTGATCTGACACGTCAGCTCGACTTGGCCGGAAAATGATAATGAGACAAATTTGCAGAAATGATCCGCTCCAGCAATATCGCCACTAATAAGCGCTGGAACACTTTCTGCGCTGACAGTGGGATCCGAATGAGAAAAGAAGGGCCAACTATTTAGATTCTAATCTTAGTAAAGACATAAAGGAACGGTATTGCACATATACAAGTTTGATATTTATTTGGAAATCTAAAAGGTTTGAGTTTTATTTGCAATTACGCAAAAAATTGGATTTTATGAACAATTAAGCCGTTATTTTTCTATGAGAAAATCATAAGCCAAGGCAATAAAAACACCAAAATATGAGTGTTGACATCATTAATTTGCAGTAAGTATGACAATGGACCAGGTCAGGCCGGATAACTGCAGACCCAGACCTGGCCCGCGTTTTTGCCCAATGGACACGACCTTCCACGCGACCCGCGATGGGTCCAACAGGTAGGGCCCGTGACTTGACCCACTCCGGGGCAGATCGACCCGCCCGACCTGCGACCCGTGCCTGACCCGTCCCGACCCAGTAGCCACCTATATAATGTTTTATCCCTTTTATTTACCCTAATCATCACCTTAAACATTACACATTGCACAAAAAAAATAATAATAATAATAAAATTTTACAAGCTTAAATTTATTCGATTTGTCATTATTGTATCATGCATCGCACAAGTTACATACTAGAAAATAAAAAACTAATCTCCAGTTTGGAGCACAAATATTTTTCACATGCTACATTCCAGTCGGAAAAAAAAAAAAGGATTGCATTTAAACAAATGCATGATACAAGAACCCATAAATTCCACAGTAAATAAAAGAAGTTGGTAATAATAAAAAATTAAAATACAAGATCCAAGCATTTGCCCTCAATAAATATAGGGAAAAATTCTCCAAGGGACCAGCTTCGTGTACTCTGTCCAGACCTCTTTGTACTTCTGAGCACATCGTGCTTCGTCTCGTCTCTCTCTCCATATTAGCAGAATGAAAAGGTATATAGGATAAAAATACGGGACCAGGGAGCTGCATATACGTGTAGATATAAATTATTACATTTACAGTTTCTTCCAATGGTTTTTAGATTTTTCAGTCAAGAACGAAGCATAATTTAGATTGATAGGTACCTAATCCCACAAGGTAAACTGAAGGAAAGAGCTAGCAACAAGTCCCCGAGATAGTTGCTGTGCCTGGCAATACCCCTGTCGAAGGATAAGTTCATATCACGTTGACTTTACAGATCTTATATCCATTCACCACTCGATTAAAAAAAAAAACGCATGATCCATCGTTTAAATTTTGCTTTTATCCATATAAGACTTTGTCGTTCTTTCAGAAATTTCGATATCCAATGGAATCTGCATAGATAAGATAGCTGATGTATAGAATGACTATGTTTGGTGCTGATAAGCTAGCTTATAGCTTTTAAATGAATTTATCGAGCTTATAATTGATAGTTTATGACTTATGGCTGAAAAGCTAGCTTATGTTATAAACATGTTTGGTTAAATTAGTTGATAAACTAGCTGAAATAAAATTTCAATGGGCTTATTTGAAAAGCTACCCAAGTAAGCTTATGAGATAGGCTCGGGCTTTTTAGAAAAGCTCATCCTACCAAGCCAAGCTTATTTGAATACAGGAAGCTTATAAACTAATCAAATAAGCTATAAGCAAGTATATATATATATATGCTTACCAAACACAACATAAGACTTTTGATTGGGAGTTTATTTATTATGTTACATTTGGAGGTCAGTAACTTAGTGAAGGTCCTAATTAGGAGACGTGAACACTTACCAATATCCAGAAGCAAGCAACTTCCCACCGACGACCTTAGGAGGTCTACCCCATATTGGGGCTTTCGGATTCTTTTTAAAAACATGTTTCTGCTTGTTAGCTCCTCTAAAGACCATGTAGCTTTCCCCATAATTAAAAACAAGCAAGATGTCAGTGTGCAGACACGAGTGGAGTGATTGGATTGGACAAAAGATAGTGACTTTTGCACTCTCAAGAAAAGAAAAGTCTAATGCTGCAAGCAATTTCTGTTGGTAGAGTAACAATTGGAATTTAACACTCACCCAATCAGGAAAACGAGACAGTTAGCGATAATACCAGCTGTTGTGAGCTCCACTTCATTGTTTATAAGCCACCAACCCTTTCAAACATAGAGAAAGAAAGCGCCAATGAATGCAATGAGTAACATCCTTTTCTTCAGTAGTATATAACAAGATTAGAAATACGAGACCAGCCATCAAACCAGACAGGTTCGACAGTGGTGGAACTGGAAGTAATTTTTTAATAGTATTAAAGAGACTGTAAAGTTTGAGAAAGTTCATGACAGGATGACTATAAGAGAATATGAAAGTTCTTCATCACAAACAACTTTAATCTAAATACAGTTTTTTCAAGTAATCAATTGACATTACACAGTCCAAGGAGGATAACCTTTGTGCAATTGGTATACATGACACATGAGTAATATGATGTTTTAAAAGTTACAAAACAGCAGCAGATTACTATTATTATTATTGTTATTATTATTATTATTATTGGACTCAAAAGCTATTTATGTCTTTGTTGTATACCTGGATACTGAATGTGAACGGAATCCAGACTAGATCCCCAAACACAAGCATGAACCCCAACCGCTCTGCAATTATATCCCATCTAAAGAACATGCAGTATCAATCAAGGTTAAATGTTAGACTTACGAACTCATACGAAAGAATGAAAAATTAAACTACATGGAAACACAGTAGATTATCCTTGTTTTCTCTGGCTGTCCATATAGATATAGATAATATTGTGCTACTCACGTAGAGGTCATGTACTCTTCATAGAAAAAGTAGTCCATAATGTATACCTGCATTAAGAATAAGAAAAAAAAAAAAGTCAAATGCTTATGTAAACGAAACCACTCATATAAGATTGACTTACAACACAAAATATCTGGTAAAGAATCATCGATTTGCTTAAGGTGCTCTCGTGAATGCATTTTGCAAGAACGGAGAGATTTATAAGAAGCCATCCCATCATACCAGCTCTAACAAAGTAAAACCTACAGAAAAATATTACAGTAAACTTGTCAATTATGATATATCATGTAATACCCAAGTTAGAATTTTTCCATTGGGAGAATTAGCCATCAGATAACAATACCAGGCATGCACTCTTTAGTTACATATGAGCCTTAAATATTAAACATAGAATCACTAGAAAAGTCAACAAGAAGAACGAACACAACAACAATATTTATATACTCAATGAACATAGCATCTCAGTATCTCAGTCTAGAAATGTACTTGAGGTCGATTCCAATAAATTGAGGATTCAGTTGTATCCCAAACCACCTGTCAGATGAGATAACAAAACATAAGCACTATAAAAGCACATTGATAAGTTGAGAACATAAAATAGAAATTGGGAAGCCAGACAAGCAACCGAGGTTACATCTTGAGAAAATTACGAGCAACTATATATTAGGTTCTCTCTTTTCTCCAATGTTTTTTCAGGAGGTAGCTTCATTTAGAAGCAGAGGCATAATATATCATTATATTGTTTGTGGTTCATCGACAACTATCTGAATCATTATGCATTTAGAAACTAGACAGACAGTAGAAAAAATGCCCATTGTCGTTTAAGTGAAATAAAGTAGTTGAAACCTAATTTTCTTAAAGTATCCCTCTGCGACCTTGAGAAAACATGCAGGCCATGAACAATTTCACATTTGTTAACAAAGGGCAAAGCAAAAAACTAATGGGATCAATTTAGGGATCACAAAGGTAGAGAAAAGAAAGAAAATAATCCTTCAATCTTTGTCAAACCAATCCTAGCGCCCCATGACCGCCATCATTCACAAATTTTGCATGGTGGATTGTCAAAAATCCGCCACGCCATACGGCCATGGCCGCCATTTGCTAACACTGTTTTCGAGAAGCAATGGTCACAAAGATATATGAATATTTCACGAGGAAAAATACTCATACTCAGTCACAAAGATATATGAATATTTCAGGAGGAAAAATACTCTTCTTCGTCCATGCATGAGAACCTACTTTTCTTGAGGGAATTGAGAATTAAGTGTCATGCAGAACCTGTTTTATCCGTAGATCATGGATGTTTAAAAGAACAATGTATTAATTTCATAACTGGGTTAGAGGGAACAAGCTTACTGAAACAATGTATTAGCAGTTAACATATCATTAGTCTACATTAGCTTTAAACTTACCAAAACCTTAAGAAAAAATACTGATTAAAAAAATACCTTAAGACTAGAACTAACAATTGGAATATACCAAATTCTGATTCTCAGTATGCACAAAAAATTTACACTTAGTGCATTCAAAATTGGCACACACCAAAAGGTGTGCTGCATAAAAATATAATTTCTCAGAGCGTACTTGGCCAATGCTACATTAGTTACCAGTCATGGATTAGGTTCCCAGTGACATGAGGTTTCAAGGAGGAACTCTGAGCCCGGGATCTGCAGCCAGCCACATAAAGAAAGAATGTCACCTGGGATGGCATAAGAAAAGGATAATAACCTTAATCAGGTGACTTTAACTGAATATGTGCTGAAGCTAAGCACCAAAGGAGACCCTTAATCACCAAACACCAAAAATTATACTTTCCTGCATAAACTGTATATATTTCAGGAATTGTTTGATCATCATTTTAATAGTATATCTGTTTACACTCACTTATTCGTTTATATATGTAATGTTGAAAGAATTATACTTCAACTTCAGAAAGTGCTCCAGTGTTAATCAGTCGTTCTCAAAGTAACATGACTCAAAACGTCAACCTGCTACAAACGTTTTTTACACTCAATAAAATTTCCCAGCCACAGTAAACCCAATTCTTACAAGTAGACAGAAAGCAAGAGTTGTTGATAGCAGCTCGAGACCCCTATCAGCAATTGCCTGCAGAAATTACCATGAAAACAAATGCAATTTAGAACAACACCGCGCCTGGCAATAACCGAGCACTTTTCATGCTGCATTTTACCAACTATACAAGCTATGCAATCAGTAAAGTATTATAGGCACATTAGCCTTCACCAAAGTACATGAACATCAATGCCGATCCATTTAAGGACCCAATGTGAAATTCAACAACACAACAAGCAGAACATTCAAGCAAACAAAAAGAAAAAAAAATCTACAACAAGATGCCAATTCTCACAGTGGGTGATATAAGATCCATCCATCCGCCAATTCCGAGTAGATATACCAACAAGATAAGCAACACCAAACCTGGAGTTGAGACAATAACAATCAACTCAAACACCATTATTCAAACTCAATTGAAAAAAAAAAAAAAA